GAAAGCAAACTACTGAAATGGATCTAATGCTGACTACAACATGAGTGCAGTTTTTCTAGAACTAAACTGAAATTTAGTGTCAAATAGAAATATAAAGAGAACCATTAAAGATTAACCTGAAAAAAGTGAGAAAATCCACATCAGATTTTAGATTATATAAACAAGCAAAAACTGGTCGGAGCTGAGCAGATTAATTCTTGTTTTAAATATTTTTAGCTAAAATTTGACTATATCAATTTTGGGATTTTTAGCTCCTCAAGGAATTGAAGCCATAACTTACAAAAAGTTAAAATGAATACTCCTGTAAACGTAACTTCCTCCATCTTTTGCTACTTAAGATTATAGAAATAAAAAACCTGAAGCACATGGTAGGATTCAACTGTTCATTTAAATTCCAGACTTTTGTTTTCTAAAATTTAATGTGTAGGAACAAAGTTCTCTTTAGTCAAAAAGCCAGATGCGTCAAATTGATTACACTTGCAGGTGCCTTTAAATCAAGATGAATCACTGCAGTCATGCCTCTTTCCACTGAGCAGGAATCCAAAAATAGGTGATTGGCTCAATCTTGACTCAATGCAAATCCTAGCCAAGTTTAAAGACTGCATTATGAAACACACTTCTGTTAATTTTTCCTGGATTTTAGCTTGCTTCATATTGGATGTAAAATCCTGTTTTCAAATGCTTAACTACTATTTTTTTTTAATTTGATTATACCAAACAACAATCCAGTTGCAGGGAACAGGATGCAATACAACGTAAAAGCAGCATACTGCACAAAAGCAAGGGACTCCTGCATACCCGAAAAAGTAACTAAAATCATTAGGCTCCCAAAACTAGACAAAATTGTTTCAGGATAGTCAAGTTTCTCACTGCAGCTTGTCTTCCTGTACACATCTGGGTATCAAGGAAAAGCAGTGAAGAATACTTGAACAAGAACACATACACACAGAAGTCAGAGAACTGCTACAGCCTTCATACCTGTAGGATTTGAATAGTAGAAGAGGACTATGATATGGTCCAAATGGAAATGGTTTTGTTTCAGTTTGTTTACTTTGCGATGTAACAAGATCTGCATCCACTGAAATTTCCTAGGAAACAGATAAACAGATATACAGCAATTGCAGTACCACCTAATAAAGACAACCTTCGTATTTAAAGCATTTACCTGACCACACAGCAGATCTTCCTTCGGTACTATAAAGGCAGTGCTTTTCACTAGCAGCTCTTTCAAGCTGTCAGCTTTAGCATAAAGTTTTTTCAGTTCATCAATATTCAACCCAAGGAACAGCTCAGGCTCCTCTGATGCCTTTTTAGAAAGTTTGTTTATAGTTTCTTGTTTTGGTGTGTCCATGTGTTTAAGATTTGGTTTAGTGAAAGAATTAGATTCTCTGAAAGATCTCCTTCGTTCTCGGTTTGAATTAGACAGAACTTCATCATCAAAGTAGTTTTCTCCACTGTCCAAAGACAATTTATCCTGCGTAAGATCATGAAGCGATGGCTGAGGTAATGCAAATTCAGATTCCTCTTCTGCATGAGGTGCAACGTTTGATTGTTCCTTGGTTTGAAGTGCACGGGCCTCTTTCAATTTCTGAATCTTTAGAGCATATTCATACTCTAGCTGCTGTAGTCGTTTTTTCTCTAGTGCAATCAATTCTGCTGAATGTTTTTTTGGACTTGATGCAGGGGAGTTCTCCAATTTCAACATTTTGCTTGGCTGAAAAGGAAAAAATTCCCTTTATTTCATTTTCACATTCACTGATCTATTTACAGGAGGTAAATGAAACATGGGCAGGATATTTAATTCAGAGTTTATAAAAACATATTTTAAACTCTTGCTGGAAAATTTGAGTAAACAGCAGGAAAACCACAAAAGAGTTTGCCACAATTCACCTGGCTGGTTTGTAGGTTTTTTGATGAAGTTTACCCTACATCATGTATGGGGCTTCAACAGAAGTTCTGGCCACATTTAAAAGGTAAGCTATAAAACAGGCGGTGTTGCAGGGGTGGGGGGCAGGGGGAAACACAACAAGAAGAGTTTACAGAAATGTTTTGGAAAACGAAATATAGAAAAAAGCGAACAAGATCAGATCCCCTCTTCAGCATCTTTGCTAGGTAGTTTTAACAAGATCACTGATGTCTATAAAGTATTTCCTTCACAGGCATATAGCTCCTCTTATTATTTATCTATTAATGACACTCCCCTGGCACAGATGTGTAAGGCTTTGAACAATTTTTTAAATCATTAATGTTTTTTCTGTTGATTTCTCAGAAATACAGGAAACCAATAGGAAGATTCCTGCAGTGCTTTTGAAATGTTTTCCTATTCTCCTGAAATCTCATTTGAACTAAAGTTTCCTGATCAAAATTGCTACTGCTTTTCAAGTACAGTATGGTTTAAAAGCATGCAGACTTACTCCAAGATGATCTTGCTCCAGTTTTCGTTTCCCAATTTCCTTACTCGCTACTGCTTTTGCTCGAGCAAGTTCTTCCCCATATTTTAATGCCAGAGCTTTTTTTACTGTAACTCGTTGTTGAACTTTATGAATCTGAAAAAGAAAAAAAAGATATTAAGATGCAAATTTTCAGATATGACCATGTAATAAGATATAATCAGAAAAGACATGGGAATTAATCATTAATTAATTGAAAGAAAGCCTACTGCCTCCAACAATCAGGCTTCTCATTTCAAGATTTCAGCTCTAGGAAACAGAAACATTTCAAAATTCAAGTTACTTGTTCCTGAAGCTTCTTGAGAAATATTTTATTAGCATTCAAGATCTTCTCTGTTGCTTGTAGCTGTTCAGCCAGTTTGTTAATTTTATTTTCAGCAATTCGAACATTCTCTCTCTTCTTGGCCTCTTGTTGCAACAAATGTTTCAAGACAGATTCATCCTTCATCAACAGAAGTCTAAAAGTAGAAAAGCCACATGAATTTTTTTCCAAAAGGAAGTTTCTCAGAGCTGTCACTGCTCCTCTGAAACTCTAGTTATTTAAGAACCCAGCTCTTTTTCCACTCATCAAACAACATTCTACGTTTCTTCAGATAGCCTTAACATCCATGAGACAGTAAATACTGGTAGTTCATACAGATTTCAGTATCCCAAGTTCAGCATGTCAGTATAAACCAGATGAAAACATTCTAGTTATGAGGACTGGGGAAGGTAAGCAAGTTAATACTGCTTTTAACATTGAGACATCCAAACCACACACATTCTTGCTTTTTGTTAAGTAACAGCCCAATTCTTCCTTATGGTGCATACATACAGGAGCAGACTACAAGATGTAGTATTATGGCACAATAGCAAAGTAGTTAAATATAAGAAGCTATACATTAAATGAAGCAAGATAGATAGGTGTGAGTAAAGGGAGGGGGATGAACGTCCTTCAATTGATGTCTGATCACCAACCAGTTTGTTCATAAGACCACACAGAAATAATCAAGTGGCAACAGAAGCTGAGAAGAAGGATGCAAAGCACTTATTTTCCACAGTGACTTGGAAGAAGACTGAGAAACATGGAAGTGGTATGCTAAAAAGAGAAAAGGCATACAGGAAAAGCTTCAAACAGCATACCTATTCTGCAGAAACATTCATTCATTCATATCATATATATACCAGGCATATCCCATTGAAAAATGCTACCCTCAAAGTTTATTGAGTAGTGAAAAGCACACTCATTTTTTCATATTTCAGTTAGGAGGTGGCACAGATGATATTCTAGTCACTGAACATAAACACTGCTGAAAATAGCTCGCATGACAAATCATACTTAAAAGTTACCAAACACCACATTGGCACTACAACACAACTTCTGTACAGCAACAGAATCCAAGACTGAATAGTTCAAGATGGAAAACCAACTGTTTGCTGTACTTCAAATGCTACGTGCTCAAAAAAGTTATTTATATTTTCATCTTGCTAAGCAAACAAGCTAGGACTTACAACAGTGAAATACCTACTTGTTTTTCTTAAGCTTTGCTTCTGCTTCTGTAACTTGTTTTGTCACTACTGCTATTCTCCCAATTCCATCAACTTCAGCATCAGAATTTGCAGGGGACGAGTTGTTCCTCAGTGGATCAGATTTAACTAAACGCTGCTTCTCACGACTAAAACATAGATGTTAAAAGCAAAGATGTTCAGTAACTACAACATTCATTCTGTTGTGTACTCCCAATAGTTTTAAAATCTTCCAAGAAGTAGCAGGACAACATTTCAAATTAAAAAGAACTTTCCACAACTGCAATCAACTACTGTCAGTTCAAATCCAAGGACTCTTAGACTGCTACGGTGTCTTACTAAATATTGAGCGGGGGGGGAAACCTAAGTGACAAATGTTTTCAAACTAGGATTTTCCTTCTAGTTACAAAAATAGACTAGTAAAGGACTACAAAGAATATATATTTTACTTTAATTATTAACTTTAGTTGTACCTGGCAATCTCTTCTTTTAAGAGTCTGTATTCTATCTTCTTATCTTCTGGTAGAGCCTCTGGAGTTCTCATTGGATCATTTTCTTTTTCTGATTTTGGAGGGGCTTTGATTTTTGAGGCCTGTTATAACAAGGTTCAAGTCAATACTAGTCACACTAATTTAAAATACAGCTAATACATACTATTTTTAGGAGGCATTTCAGCACAAACTTAAAGCTGTTCAAGGTTAATAAGATCTTTTAAGCCAGATTTTTTGGCTAGTAATTAAATATGCATTGAATTTTACTTGAAAAAATGGAACCAAAATACATTACAAATTCTATCTTCCAGATGCCATCTTAACCAAAAAAATCATTTTGATTAGCTTGTGCAATCCAAATTACAATGTAATGGTAGACAGGAGTAATGCACTCACTCTTGCCTGTTTCTGATGTAATACAGTATTTCTTGACCAAATTCTAAATTCCATATACAAAGCAAAATCATCACAAAATAAACCTATTAAATGCTGATGTTTACCTCAACATTTCTCCTTGCTTCTTTTATCATAGATTCTAGTCCTCCAAATACACTGTTAGTTGAGTTAGATGGCTCTCCATCAGACTCACTATCATCAGAGTCATTTAATGTAACCACAACAGACTTATGTTTTGGAAGCTGTGGAGAGAATGAAAAAAGTTTTATAGCAAGAAGAAAAAGTTAGAGAGACTGATAAAACTGAGCATATATTTACTGGAAGAGAAAGAGGAAGTTAACTCCTTTTGTTATCATGGCATATCAATTCCACATTGCAAGAAAAAAAATCTAAGCATTTGTGCATCTCCACTATAGACAGAAATACAGTACTCATTTATGATACAGTAACATGAAAGGTACTCCAACATTTTCAACCTATTCCCAAGTATCTGCAGCATATTTACATCTCCATGGTCATCACATACAAATCTCAAACCTTTGACTCCTATACTTCATGAATTATTTCAATTGTAATGAAAAGTATCATCTGCCATTTGCAAGCAATTTTAAGTAACTGAGAGGTAACAATCAATCAATCAAGTCTGCATTAGAAATGCTATGGCAGACATACCAGAACTCCTTCACCTTTCTGCCACACAGTTGCAATGCCTCTTGTGCCACAGTTATACTTAGCTGACCTTACAGTGAGCTGCTCAGGCAGTTCAACTAGCAGAACATCAATGGGACATAAAGAACAAATGAAACAAGATTAATCACTTTTTGCCAACATCACTAACTGAAACAGCTCACTGAAGATCAGATGACTGCCAATTCCAGCACAAAAAGATGCAGAAACAAGCAAACAATTTAGATTAACCTCGAATGTTCCGGAGTTACAGCCTGGAAAAAAAAAGCAACTTAGTTCACATTTCCAGGACTGCTCTTCCCATCTCCCAGTGTAGGTCTTGACAATTACAGTCATATATTTAACCTTTACCTCAGGACAGGACCTCTTCAAAGCTTTAAGTGTCTTAAAACACACACCCCACAGACACCCCTATACTTTTTAAAGTAAAAAATACCCAATTTCCAAGTAATTTCTTTTTGATATTCTCTTTCTGGACAGTTCTTAAAATAAGGACTGTCTCTACTACTTCTGAATGCTGCATCATTTTTGCACCACCACAGCACAGCTAGGTGAAATTCCAATGTACATTGGTACAAGAAAACAGAATAAGGCACTGGTCCTCTCCTCAAAAATATTCTCTGGCTGTAGCTCCATGGAAACCTGGATTAATCAGGCAAGGTACCCCACCCTCTTCCTTATCTTCAGATGCCCAATACATCCCTTCCCTATCACTGGCTCTCAGTATTAAAAGGCAATAGTTGCCAA